TTTACTTTGGGAATCCATGGTGCCCAACATCTTAAATCATCGCAAATATTCTAGTGTCATCAGCAGCATTTTACAAAGTTTGAATCATAACAGCAGGCAGACTGACTCCTGAACATTCTGCGATCAAGACTGATTTTCAACTGCTGAACTACTGCGTTGTCTTCAGATTTATTTCGGATTTAAATCCACATGATGGAGGAGGTAAGTTTGAAGTTAATATTTCGGCTAGGTTTTGTAACTTCTCTGGTTAGAGTATTCAACAAATATATCATGCAATATAGTTTAGTGTAAATCAGCCATCAGCATTAATTTCCATATTGTTTCCAAAATGCGAGCCTCAGGTTACAAAGAAACAAGAGGCAGAACGGAGGCAGCAGGAGGCCCGGGAAGAGCGGCGAGCCCTAAATGCAGCGGATCTCCCGGATCTTCAACCCTTACCCCCGAAAGATCCCATAGACCCAGACTTGGAGGCTCTTTGGGAGGCCAGGAGGATGGAGCCGCTGAGGATCCACGGGCGCAGCGTGGAGGAGCACAGGGAGATGTACCGCCGGCTCGTGGAACCAAAGCTGCTCTACCCTTCTGGCCGGCCTCGACCCTATTCCCTCGATCTAGGGCGCAGGATAAAGCAGCGCCTGTGGGTTGCCGTCTCCTACCCGAAATTCACCGAATTGGTGGGAGACAAAAATATAATTGACATCGCGGAGACCTCTGGCAACCCGGGGCTGAAGGATTACGCCCCCCTGATCGAGGTGGATGTGTGGGACGAGCCCCCGGCCACAGAGCCTCCAAGGAAGAGAGCGAGACATTAGTCCCTGCTCCATGTATATAATGTATATATGTAAATAATTGTAAATATATATATATAATATATATATTATATATAGGTTAAATATAAGTAAATAAATGTAACTATATATTATATAGGTTAAATATAAGTAAGTAAATATATATATTATATAGGTTAAATATAAGTAAATGTAAATATATATATTATATATAGGTTAAATATAAGTAAATGTAAATATAAATATTATATATATTAAATATAAGTAAATATATAATATTTTGGTTAAATATAAGTAAATATATATATATATATATAATATATAGGTTAAATATAAGTAAGTAAATAAATAAATGTAAATGTAAGTAAATAAATGTAAATAAATATAAATATACTTTTAAAATCAACCTGGTGTGCTCCTTTCTTCTTGTGTATAAGAGCAGAGTTTGACATGAGCTTATTTCAGCCATCCCCGCACGGATTTTAAGAAATACTACTACTGCTTGTTGACACGTTTGTAAAATATCACATTTTACAGAGACGGTTTGTGTTTTCGGGACCGGCATTAGCCACGCTAGCGGCTAATCGGCTGAATTTCTTAACTAACTTTTTACTTTGGGCCTCAAATTGTCATAGCATTGTTTAAAATTAACACGTTTATGTCAAAATATCTCTTTTAATCGACATGGATAATGTTTAAACCCAGAAAATTAGTGTAGTTAGTAACCATGCAGCTATGTTAAACCAGGTCAACTGACTGGAGACCTGCGATTTCCCGTCAAATATACAGGGTGTTTATAAAGTCTCTTTACAATTTCAAAAATGTATTACAAAAGCAATTGATGAGATATCTTCATCAGATTTGTTCTATGTACTCAGTGGTTATCAAACAAAGGTACGGGACATCACAATCTAAAGCAGGGGATCACCGCCGCCATTGATGAGGGTATGCTACAGCGAACGTGGCAAGAAATCCGTCTTGATGTGCTTCGTGCAACTAATGGTGACCATATGGAGGTGTATTAAATGAGGCAAAAAAAAACCTTAAATATATACATCTCATTTTGTATTATTTTCCACATATCTGTCTTTTCATTTGCCTTTGTAATACACTTTTGAAATTGTAAAGAGACTTTATGGACACCCTGTACATTACGGTCTAGCTCAGTCGGTACCAATAGTCACTGACTTGAAGCTAATATGGTCCCGGACTTGGCCAAACAAGTTCAGGATAAACTTGTGGGTTCTACTTCGGCCAAACACTATCCGGTATTTCCTATTCGGATGAAGCGCGACTCGGATTTAATTAGCTCTTTTAAAAATGGCGGCCGCCATGTTGGTTTAAAGAGAAACGTAAGTTTGTTTGTTTGTTTATTTATCTATTTTAGTGAAACGTAAGTAAATAAAAACGTGCCGTATATTTTAGTGACGCCAAGAAATCGCATATGATAAAGATATATTAAGAGTATAAAAACAAGACTCACGAATTGACGTGACGCTCAAGCGGGGGATCTTACGGCAAATCTATATTTTTCCATTATAAACCTAAAATGAGCTACTTGAAAAGCGTTGGGATAGTTAGCAAACCCTACAGACCATTTGCCAGGTAATAAAACTGTTGCATATATGTAAATACGTGTGCAGACTGGTCTGGAATTGAAAATCACACTCCAGCCAGCTGTCCAATTTTGACATCTCTGCCTTTTTCATAAGGGTCATTTCAATGTCTATGACATCCTTCGAGGACCGTGCTAATTATTGAACACGCATCACACTAATCTTGCGCGATATTTTGTATAGATTGCAAAAAAACACATATTGACCTGAGACAGGAAGTAGCGTAGGACGCACCGCTAACGTTAGCATTAGCAAACCTAGCTGACCGTAGCGTATGTCATCAATGGCTGAGTCCGAAAGAGTTCGGGCTTCCGGGCGTATGTAGTTGAAATGTTGACTCATTTTCCCAATGACTTTTATTTGATTGTTTTACTGATATAGGCAAATGTTAATTTCTTTGTTCCGATCGCACAGAAAATAGTGCTATGATATGGGGTGTTACAGTTATGAATTTAAATGTGGATCCCATTGTTCTGATAAGTAAACTTGCATGTGGTGGTGTGTTCTTTATGCTATATGACAATTTTCTTAAATACCGGTATAATAAAGGTGATGCGACTGGCTCAGTTTCTAAAGTGTACAACAATTTGGGATGAACTCGGGATGCATCGTTTCTAACATCTTTGTGTTGGTAAAATCCGATTTATTAATATAATTATTAGTAGAGGCCTTTATTTTTTAGAAATGTGCCTAATAATTTTCGACCAGTAATTTTATATTTGACCAGTACGTGATATATCTGACCAGTAATTTTTAGATTGATTCCCCTTCTCTAAACTTCTGTATCCGTACTGTATTGAATTGCATAGCGTCATATTCTATGACTTTGACCTTAATGTAAGCTGTAAGCTGCACAGAAGTGGTCCTCATATTGTTTTGAAGCTATTGTCCATCTTTATAGATTGAATAAATAATATTCCATCCCCATATGAATAATTGCTATGTAATAACTGATTAAAATATTAAAAATTCAATAACAAAAAACCTATATTTCAAAATTGATCATTTTTTTTACTAAAGCTAGCTCATAATATCATGAACATCTCCAGAAAATTTTGTCTTTGGTTTTTAAGTTGTTGTTGAGATATCTTCACTTAAACATAGCGTCACGTGGTTTCATATCACAAATGGGCCTTTTTTTTCTTATATTAACTCTTTTATTGAGAAAGCACATATTATATTACCGTAACATAGCTGTTGACATTGCCTTTGCTTTCAACATTAAAAAAAAAAACACACTGAAACTGGCGGGGTTGCCAGGTTACAATCACATCATTGAGATGAGGATTCAAATCAGTGCACCAACATATGGAGCAGCAGGATTTATAGAAAATCAGACCTAACAGGCTTAAATGGGCCTTTTTAATGGCAGCCAAACTGACACGAAATAGTATAACAAGCACAGGTGTAACTAATAACATTAATAAAGGTTTCGAATATGCTACACTGAAATTTAAGGAAAGCTTCATTAATG